GTAACGTCATCAAAAGGACAGCATAACATCTTAGAGATTGCATTCTGAATATCGATTGTTCAAACTCGATTTGTTGTTGGAGAAAGGGTCGCTGCGATGTTGAAAAAAAGATGGAGCTTTAATACCTTTCATCTCACCTCTCAAGAGAGCATGTCATGCCCCGTCCTCATCGTTTTGCGTACAAACATAAATTTGCCATATAATGCAGTGCTATAAAATGCGAAATAATGATATGCGATTATTAATGTACAACTGAAAAGGTATCCAGATTGAATGTGCGATTATGCCTCCCTACCAATATCAACGTGAGATTCGGGGTGTTGTTTTGTGGCGCCGCTGGTTTCATCCACAGTCATTCGTTCGTGTGTCTTGCGTACTTCCTCGTCCCAATCAGTACGTTTGATGATCAAATAGGTAAAGATGGAAGCATACGTAAGTGCGATTGTCAATCCCCACCAAAGACCCGATAAGCCCCATTGAGGCGGTCCAAAGGTCAACACTAATCCAATAGGAATTCCAATCACGTAATATCCAGTCAAATTGATCACCGCCCCTTTGCTTTGTCTGCCTGTTCCTCGCAAAATACCCGAAGTGATTCCGCAAACGCCGTCCATAACTTGGAAAGCGGCCATAACGGGTAAAATAGCGGTGACCAAATCGATCACCCTTTGATCTTCCGAAAAAAGTCCACCTAATCGATCACGAATAGACAGATAGAACAACGAATTTGCTACACCTGCTGCTAAAGATAAAAACATAGCCATGTCCGAACAAATTTTTGCATGTCTTGCTTGAGAGGCGCCCAACAGGTTACCAACACGCACCGCCACTGCGATAGACATTGCATAAGGAAGTTGATATGTGATGGAAGAGCAAACCAATAAGACAGATTGAGCAGCCAGTGCAAGTGTTCCCAATTTACTTGTCACTAAACCAACAATTTCCCATGACCACCATTCCGCACACATGGCAAATGTTCCTGCTAATCCTAATTGGAAGATCGGTTTCAATCCGGTAAAAGCTAATCTTGACCATCCGTCCCATGCGATACGTGGTGCGATGTAACATTGTAACAATCCCAGAATGAACATGAGCCACATCGAAATGACAGACGCCAAAGGAGCACCAATAAAACCAATTCGAATTGTTGGAGGACCCCAAACAAACAGCCAATTGAGCATGGCATTGATGGGACTGGCGACAAGTAAGACAATTGTAGGAGCGTGCATCAATCCTTGTGCTTGTAAATATCTACGACAAACTTCAAATCCTGCGTAGCCTGGAAGGCCGATCGCTAGAATGCGCAAGTATTGTCCTGCAAGGCTTGCGACGATTGGATCTTGTCCCAAGAGAAGTAAGAGACGCTCGGCATTGAACCAAATTGCCGATATTGGCACCACCAAATATGCAACAATGACCAGCATTCTTTGCGTATACAAACCGACCATCTTGGGTTGAGAAGTGTATGCTCCAGGGAGAATAGAGTCCAACGCAGAAATGAAACCTGCAAGGATACTATATCCGGTCACATTTGCGGTCATTGATGACAAAGATGCTGCAGCAAGCTCGTTCGTACCAAGGTGACCAAGACTGAATACCGAAACAACGTTCAGACTCAATTCCAACAAGTGACATAACCAAATTGGAATACTGAAGCGACACAAGACCGTGAGTTCACGTCTATGAATATGTTGGTCAGACTCGTGGGCGATTTCCTCAAGTTGAGCTTGGTCTGGTGGTGCGGGTTGACGTAGATCCCAACCGCTTGACATATGCCAACTTGGACGACGAACATGGGCGGCGCTACCATGATGGAGTTCAACATTGGAGCTGCCGTACATATTTGATTGACCACCTTCTCTCAACAATGGGCTACTTTCACTCGCATCCTCGTTTGAATGTATGCCGAAAAAGTTACCAGTAAGATGATGATGTCCACCTCGTGTACCGGGCATAGGTGTTAGATCATCATCGTCAGGTGCAATTGCGCTGAAAGAGGATGAACTGGCATAGTCTAATTCTTCCTGTGAGCGCATATCTGCATCTGCAGGTGGCATAATATGATGACCTCCTAAAACAAGGGAAGATGCTAAACCGCCTACGGAATGCGATTGTTGAGCGTCTGCTCCTGAAATTGAGCCGTTTCGATGACCGAGAATAGGAGAAGTGACGATTTGTTGATGTAAATTAGCCGAGATATGACCGCGTGATCGATCGGTAAAGGAGGTTGAAGATGCACCCATATAAGGTGATTTGATCGAATTAGAAGTGCGCCTTGAAGATTGAGATGGTTTCATTTCTTTTCCTTTAGGCGTAATGGATGAATCTCTTATTACCTCATAGGCCTCCGATCCGTTCGGCAAAGAAAGGTTAGACATATTGTCAATATCCCCTTCTGATTCTGAACGTGCGATAGATTCTTGTACGCCATTATCGTTTGTAATGGTAGTACGTATTGATTGTCTTTCGTCCTGTTCCGATATTGGATCTGAGTCCAAATTTTGCCTTTTTAATCGATTGCCCAAGATTGCATAATCTCTTTGAACGGTTGGTGAACTGCTCAAATATTTTGTGGGAAAGCTCATTTCCCGAAATGAATATTTGTTGATCAATAATAATATGAAAAAGGATTGATGATATGGTGGCGAGCGCGAGAAGTTTTCTTGATAAGACAGCTGCAGGTACTTCTTTAAAAAAGTGTTGCTCTCTGATAAAGTGCGGATGTGGCGTAGAGTGAATGAATGAATTGTCTTAGCGGGCGCGAAATGAAGAGAAGAAAAGAAGTGAAAAATGCTTATGACGTGCCCGAGCGTGCAGCTTGCTTGCTTGGTTGCATGCATGCACTGTTAATTTGAGAAGAAACAGGAAAGTCGGAAAAACATTTTTGGATTAATCGAAAAAGATTAGAAGAAGTTCATTAAGTGTTGTTCTTGTTGTTCTTGTCTGTTGAACCAAATCACCACCCCCATGGCAACGACAAGCTCAACTTTGAGACCTATAAAGGTGGCCATCATTGGCAGTGGGCCATCAGCATTCTATAGCGCAGCAAGACTTTTAGCAAATGCAACAAAGGATGGTGGAGCAGATGTGCATGTACACATGTATGAACGTTTACCCACACCCAACGGGCTGGTCCGTTATGGTGTTGCACCTGATCATCCAGAGGTAAAGAATGTCGAGCACAAGTTTGCCCAAGTGGCAGAAGATAAAAGGTTTCGATTCTTTGGAAATGTAAACATTACAGGAGAAAATTCATCATCATCTTCTCTTACATACCCATATCCGCTTGCAACACAACTACCGATAACCAGCCTCATTCCGCATTATACCCACCTGCTGTTATCGTATGGATGCTCTCTAGCACAAACGCTAGACATACCAGGCTCAAAGCCAGGAGAACTGAAAAACGTTCATTCTGCTTTGGATTTCGTCAATTGGTACAACGGTCATCCGGCTGCACATGATCCTGCATTTCTGCAACAGGAGCCATGGAGGGCAGTAGATTTCTCACAGAATCTCCATCAAGCCACTGTGATAGGAGCGGGAAATGTAGCGTTGGATGTTGCACGAATATTGCTAAGGTCAAGGTCCACACTAACTTCTTTGTTCACAGCCGATACTGCGATCAAGGCCAGGGCTGCTTTGCGTGAAACAGATATTCCTGAACCAGTTCTAGAACAATTATCAAAAAGTCAAATTGATCACGTTGAGATTGTTGCTAGACGTGGGCCTGCTCAGGTGGCATTCACAAACAAAGAATTACGTGAGATGATGGAATTGCAAGATGTGACATTCATAAAACCAAAAGACGAGTATATGCACTTGGCCCATGAACAAGTAAAAGCTCTCGAAGCCAAAGCCAAAGGAACCATTGATAGCGGAGGTGAAAATACACAAGCAGCAGCAAGTGAGGCAAGAGTGAGGAAGCGTTTGTTGAGTATTATTGAAAAGGGAAGTGCGACGAAAGAATCAAAAACCAGTTGGTCGATGGACTTTTTCAAAGGACCAAATTCTCTCTTGCCATCCTCTTCCAAACCTACCTCTGTCGGTGGCATTCGATGGGATGAGATGGCATTCGAGCCAACTCCCTCAACGCATGATCGCGATAAACCATGGAGCGGAGGTGCGACTACAGGACAGCATCACGTGCGCGCTACTGGTAACCAAAGCGAACGTGCGACGGACATGGTGATCGCAAGTGTTGGGTACAAGGCAGCACCACTAGATTCAGAGTCAAATTCCTTAATCTCATGGGATGTAAAGAAAGGAATAGTGCCTAATCGGGGCGGCCAAGTGATCGATGCCAACGGGAATGCAAGAAAGGGAATGTACGTCTCAGGCTGGTTAGCTAGAGGTCCGGTCGGTGTGATTGCTTCAACTCGAATCGATGCAAATAGTGTCGTAGAGCAAATGTTGCATGATTGGAGAACGAGTAATGGGTCTATGAGGCTGGAGGGCGAAAAAGAGGTAGACTTGGAAAGTGTACCTGAAGAATTACGCCAGTCTACCAAACGAGTAGTAACTTGGCAAGATTGGTTACGAATCGATGCATACGAATTGACAAAAGGTCAAGAGCTCGGTAAGCTGAGGGAAAAAGTTTTATCGGTGGCACAGATGCTGAGCATCATCGAATGAAGATGAAAATCTGTATTTACACTGCAAAGGGGCTAAAAGGTAAGCAACATGTGACGCTCCGGATGAACGAAGGAAAACGAACTTACACTGGAATTACAAATAGTGGCATTTCCTGCAATCTCATCTTCTCCCCACTAAAACACCCATCGTCATACCGTTCAAGATGAAATTTCCAATGCAAATCAATCTGTTTGCTGTTTTTGCACTCAGCTTTCTTTTTTTCGCTATCGTCATTGCAACACCATTTCCTGGTGGCGGCGGCGATGGTGATGGTGGTCGCGGCTCACCTCCAGGTCGTGCTTCTTCACCCGACCATGTATTCATCACCACTTTTCCTACGCATTCATCCCCTAGTCACTCATCAAGCTCTTCTTCTCCAAAGCCATCAAGCTCTTCTTCTCCAAAGGCAAAAGGGAAAAAGCCTGTGCCGGAACGAGGCCCAAACGTCGATTCAGCTAAACAATACACCAGTCGAACGGCTGGGTATTATCTAGCAGATGCAGGTCATAGTCTCGCAATGGCAGGTACAACGTTCATCGGTAATCCGATCGCAGGAGGCATTGGAGCAGCTCGTCGTGCAACAAAGGCTGCATTGGTGAAAAGTCATGTGATTGGAAAAGGTCTAACATCAGAACAAAGATCAGATATTGCACGCAAAGAATTACATCAGGCCAAGGAAGTGGGATTATCTGGCATTAAAACTGGTGCAATGCATACTGCCGGTTTTGCCTGTCAAGCGGGCTGCAATTTGATCTCATCTGGAGCACAAGTCCAAAAAACGATTAGCAGACATGGAGCGAGTGAAGCATATCCAAATCATGATGACTTTGAAAGTTTCAAAAAGAAAGCCCATACGAAAAAAGGCGAATTGAGCATTGATCGAAAAGAGACAAGAAGTCAAACATTTCATGGAATGTTAGATATGGTCAAAGGTAAACAGCCCGATTACGGACCAAGATCTCATCGCAAGGCGTAAAGTTAATGCGGCTATACAAGGTACAGCAATTGGGGCTATTCCAAATCAGCAAAGATCCCCGAATTGCGTCAGGATGCACCACGAGATACGATGTACATAAGCTCTATAGCAGTGCTTCTTCTCAATCGAATTTCTCCCATGTATATTCTTGATGAAATGATTATGCAGGTCATAATAATCGCAGCAACCAGCATCTTCTCAGTTCTTTCAGTCATTCAAGCAGTACCACTCGAAGCCTTCTCAAGATCTTCTTCTTTTGCATCTGCGGGAAGCTTGAGTCCAAATACCTATCTACGTTCACCATCACCGGCATTTTCTCTCCATGCTTCGCCTGCCATCCCATCTAACCAAGAGACGAAACAGTACGACCCAACCACATACGCAAAGAAGTTATCAAGGGTATATGCAAAAGCCAGTATTAATCATGCAGGTTTGGCAATCACAACTGCAATTGGTCATGCTTGTGCTGGAGCGTATGGGGCGATGAAGTGTATCGGTAAAGCAGGTTTGACCAAAGCTGGAATCATGAACAAAGATTTACCAAGACCAGTTCGAGAAACGCAAGCGAAGCAATACATTCAAGATGCCAAGCAAATCTTTAATCAAGGTAGAAAAGAGGCCAGAAAACAATCCCACGATAAAGCGATCGAAACCGGATTTATGATAGCCGAAAGTTGGTCCAACCGCAAACTTGGAAAAAGACCTCAAATGGCTAGAAAAGTATACAGCGGAAAAGATCAAAATGCACTGAAAGAAGTCAAAAGTCAATTGCATTCTTTCCGTAGCGAGTCGAAAAAGAAACAGCGCACCTCGATTAGGCAAAGTAGCGGTCTCAGAAGAGAAGGGGCGCCAGCTGGAGTTTGATCGTGATGAGTTTCAGATATGACGCCACGATTTCCACAGTTTGAGACTTTTTGCTGTGTTTGGCAACACCGACGCCCCATATCTTGAGAGATAGAAAGTGTATATAGTGCGCAATGTCCTCTCTTTTTGAATCGATTGCTTTCGCATCCATCATCATCCATTTGCCACTTGATCTAGAATAAAACGCAAATACCAGCAAAGCAAAATGCATTTTAACGTATTTGCTTTCCTCTTTGCTTTCAGTCTAGTTGTTGCTGGTTTTGATGTAGTTCTTAGCATTCCTGCCGGTCCAGGTTCACCTTCAAGCTCTCCAACCCATTCAAGGTCCCAATCATCAGCCTCTCGTACGCCGGCAATGCAAATCGCACACAATAAAGCGAAAGATCAAGCAGAACAAAGTGTTGTTTCCGGTGTGATTGCTGCTGGAGGCACTGTTCATGCTGTTCACGGCGTAGGAAGGGCTGCAATGGGAGCTCTTACTCTCAATCGAAGCAAATTTGGTGATGGTGCTATACAAGTCGCCGAAGGTGGCGCAGCAGCTTTATGTGCGGGTATTGTGTGTGGTGTTCAAGGCGTTAAGGCAGTCAGAAACTATACTCTATCAAAAAGTGATCGAGCAGCTGCCAAAAAGTATAGCCCTGAAAGACAACAAGGACATCATTAAGCCGACTAGGGTCAGCCAAACTTGCAAAGATTGCCGAGACTCGACTTGAATAGCTTGATGATGACGGAAACTTGGTTGTATGCCCTCACATTAACTTTTTCGTAATCTGACTTGTAAATGCCAATATTGTATGCAAAAATGCTATTGTGTGGCATCCTAGATGCCATGTCGATCAAGCCATTCTTCTCATAAGATAATGAAATCTTGCTTGTAAAGTGTCTGAGATGTCCCACAAAGACTCGAGAGGCATCACCCGGAAAGAAGAACGGACTCAATTCGACCAATTGCGGTAATGTGAGCGGCAATTTAGACATTGACGTCTTTTTCTTGTGATATGGATCTATTCGATCATCAAATGATATAGAGGATAACGTACTCAATACGTACACTTGACCACCTCCAGGTTCCACGACATACAGTCCAAGCTCTTGCAGCGCCTCCAAGGATGCTTTACCGGAAGTGCCATCAGTTTGACTTGATCCGGTTGAGGCTTGATCTCCTTCAGTCTCGATCAAAGGTAAATCGTTTACTAAATCGGAAAATGTTCTTTGCTTGGGATCGTACGATGTTCCAGCCAAAAAGCTCTCTTATGATTCTCAAATCACAATACCAACGTCAACAAAGAAGCAGAAACAATTACGATGACTATACAAATCGATCCCGCTAAATGAACGTGCCAAAACAAAAGGGCATCAGTTGGAGGAAACAGATCAACACTGATCAACGTTGCAGACGTGTGGCTCAACAGACAAAGAGCCAAAGTCACCATCAGTAATAAGTTCGCCTTAACATATTATTACTGTTACAAGATTCACTTATACTAAATTAGTTCTTATCTTGTACCTACTAGTAAACGATTATATAAATTTACAAAAATCTATCGTAATATATAGAGTTGGAAGAAGTCTCTTTCTTTGATAAATATTCGATTTCCTTTATTATATCTCGTTTCCTTATCACTATCTACTTCTATATACTATCTTTTCGTAAAAAAAAGCTTATCTAACTCTATTTTAAATATCGATATTTCTCTTGGCTAGACAAAAGTATTATATAATAAGCTCGATAGATGGTAAGAGGTTAAATCCTTCAAGATTGACGACCAAAATCATTTCCTGTTTTGCAACCTTTTCAGAGGAAGATGTGGATCTCTCATCTACGTCGTCAATCTGGACCTCTTCGTAGGTTGAATGATTTCACTTGGCATCAAGTTTTACGCCCGTTTACCGAATTAAAGATTTACCTTTATTCTATCACTGCTGCCTCAAGTCAAGTAGCAAGTAGTAATATCGCCAATTTCGGTCCAATGATCATCAAAGAGATGGATTACGAAGGTGCAAAGACTAACCTTCTAAGCGCTGGTCCATTAGCACTTTCCGTTTTCATCATGCTAATCTGTGCAGTTTTGGCAGATCGAAAAGGGATGAGATCTTCATTGCTTTTGCCGTGTTTGTCGTTGATCACCATTGGCCAATTTTTGATCTTTTTCGATACTCATTCGAAAAGCGTTACTTATGGTGCAATGTATCTAATCGCCGGCTTCAGTGGTCCTTGCTCTACCTTAATCACAGTATGGTGCGCCGGAAATATCGGACCGCAATACACAAAGATGGCGACTTTGGCTCTTTGTCTATTGAGCCACACGTCTGCAACGTTGATCAGTGTTGATCTGTTTCCTCCAACTTTGGCACGTTCATTTAGCGGGATCGATTTGTATAGTCATCGTAATTGTTTCTGCTTCTTTGTTGACGTTGGTATTGTGATTTGAGAATCATAAGAGAGCCTTTTGGCTGGAACATCGTACGATCCCATGAATTCCGTGTGGTATTTTGTGTTGAGACTCGCAACACTTCCGTCTGTTGAGTCTTACACCATTTCTTCTGTTGAGACTTGTACCATTTCTCCTGTTGAGACTGCTCCGGAGACTCTTGACGAATCCTGTGTGGCATCTTGTATTGAGTCTTGTACCATTTCTGCTGTTGAGACTGCTCCGCTGACTCTTGAAGAATTCTGTGTAGAATTTTGCGTTAAGTCTTGCACTTCCACCTTCCTTCCCTCCTTCTGCCCTTCCTCCTTCTCAGAACCCTTAATCTGGATCCATTTACAGTTTCTCTTCTTCTCCAGAGACTGCCAATATTTGCTTGTAAAAGCCTGATGAATGCGAGTGTAGAGACATCATGAATGAAGAAACTTTGACCGGCTTGATCAACCTCACTTCGAAACAAGCAACGATGACGTACTTCTTTGGTAATGTTGAACGGATGTAAAGCCAAAGAGTGTGAAGTGAAAGCATGGAAAGGAGGGCAGAGGAAAGACAAATGTTGATGTCAAGTGTGCCATTTCTTCTGTTGTGCCACTTGTTCAAATGCTATGTCATGATCCGATCTTGAGCGACGTACGAGATGATCATTCATGAATCTCGAAAGGTTTTATCCGGTCGGCTTTTGAATGCGGATGAGAAGAGGCCACCAACAGTCTCTTCTTAATCCGCCATCATCATCTTCTCCTCATTTCACCGTCATCATCCTCTTCCCATTTTATAGTCATCACCCTCTTCTCACTCCTCCCTCTTCTCCCTTTAGGTGTTTATGTTTAGAGCAGGGTCTTTGGAAAATTGCAAAACGAGAAGTTCTGGCTCATCTTACTCTCGTTACGCCAACAAGTCGGACAGGATAGACGCTTCATTGATGAAGTGTATTTGATCTGTCATCCAAACAGGTATGCGCTCAAGACCGATGCTTCTTCGACTGCCAGTGATCGCTTGCAAGAGCACCGTGAATGCGAGTGAAGAGTCATCCTCGAATGAAGAAAATTTTGCCCGACTCGAGATCGACCTCACTTCAACCTAACATATGATGATGAACTTCTTCGGCAACGTTGAACGGAGGAGAAGCAGTCAAAAAGTGTGAGGTGGGAGCATGATTAAAGAGGGCAGAAGAAAGACAATTGTTGATGTCAGGTGTACCATTTCTCTTGTTGAGGCTGCTCTGCTGACTCTTGACGAACTCTGTGTGGCATCTGGAGCAGTCTCTTGATGAATTCTGTACACGTGGTATTTTGTGTTGAGACTTGCACCATTTCTGCTCTTGAGACTTGTACCATTTCTGCTGTTAAGACTTGCATCATTTCTTTTGTTGAGACTTGCACTATTTCTCCTGTTAAGACTGCTCCGCTGACTCTTGAAGAATTCTGTGTGGAATCTTGCGTTAAGTCTTGCACTTCCACTTTCCTCCCTCCTTCTGCCCTTCCTCCTTCTCAGGACCGTCAGTCTGGATCTATTTACAGTTTCTCTTCTTCTCCAGAGACTGCCGTTGTTTGCTTGTAAGAGCCCGATGAATATGAGTGCAGATTCATTATGAATGAAGAGACTTTGACCGAATCAACCAGTGATGGACTTCTTCGGTAATGTTGAACAGATGTCAAGCCAAAGACGGTGAGGTGAAAGCATAAGAGCGATCTTGAGTGACGTACGAGATAACTTTCCATAAATTTTGAAAGGTTTCATCCGATCGAAAAAGGAAGATCTTGGCTGACTTGGACTCTATCAAGGCGTTCATACTTGTGAGCTCTTTCCATAAAGTGATGCGGGTCGTGTTTGTGTTGATTACCGCGATCAATGTTGTGTGACGACTTGAAAAGAGAGGTGTGTGATGCTGATTATACGATGGGTAGATCTCGAGTGATAAGAGATTGATGCCGAATGAATGAGATTGATACCGGTTGAATGAGATGTGATCAACAAGGGCGAAGTGAATGATGCCGGTTGGATGAGGTGTTATCATCGAATGAGAAGTGGATGATGCCGCTTGACTGAGGACGCATATGAGATGGCGTTCATTGAATTTCAGAGGTTTCACCGGTGTATCAATGGAAGACATTGGCTGGCTAGGTTGTATGCTGGCGTTTGTACTTGTGAGGTTTTTTTTGTGAAGTGAATTGATGCCATATTTGCTTGTATTTGAGTGCCACAATCTTTGACTTGTGAGAGATTTGTGATGCTGGTTGGATGACAAGTGGGTCTTGAATGACAAGTGGATGATGATTGGAATGAGATTGGGTGGTGGGGGTTGCGGTCGATCCGAAAAGGCGGATTATATATAATGTACCTTTCATCCATTCTACTCCTTTTGGACCTTGTATGTGTACGCCTGGATTGTCGAGACGATCTGGTGTGAAAATCTTGTCATATGCGGCCTGGTTGGATAGTCGCTCGCATACTACTGCATCTGACGAATGTTGAATTGGGGAATCCGAAGCGAACTATCGTGAACAATGTCGAGATTCGAATCGATCGATTTGGCGAGCGAAGGCGTTCCATGTCCATTACTGTATCGAGCTAGCTGTGTGCTGTGAGGGAAAAGAAAGGCAGAGAACTATCTATATAAATTCTCAATAAAGAGAACCCTCCACCATCTGTCGAGCTTGTTGTACGATGTTTCCATGGGCTGGATGAAAGCATCGATACTTAGAACGGAGTCAGATGGGCGCCTTTTAAGAGGGGAGTAGCGTGTGAGGGGAAAAGGGGAAAGAGTGAGAAGAAAAAAGCAGAGAAAGCAAGACCCTTACCCTTCACCATCTGTCGAGCTTATTGCACGATATTTCCATGGGCTGGATGGAAGCATAGATGCTCAGAACGGAGTCAGATGGGCGCCTTTTTGCGAAGGGAGAGCGTGTGGAAGTGGGTGGTGGTTCTGGGGTGAATTTGAAAAGGGAATTCGAGTATTTATACAAAAGACAGACCTCTCTTCTTATCAAAACGGGTTGATTGGGGATAGTAGTATACATGATTATTCTTATAAATACACAATTGTGCCTACACCGCTACGTACAGCTTATGATTAAGTCTTCAACCGAGACTGGATCGAATTGTCCCCGCTCTGATTTGCGTTCAAGGAAGATGACATCTTCCTCAAGGTAAAATGTCAAGCCAGCCTTGCCATCAATTGCGCGTGAAATGCGATAAAGGGGCATTCCACTTCTTGTGTCGGTCTTATTGAGTGATTGAACGATTAAATCAACCTCTGCAGCCGATTCTTCAACAATTTGACGGAAACTGGCTGTGCTCGTGGCTCCCCTTTCCATAAATCTCATTGTTCCTCTTTCTTTGCTCTTCTGCCATCTTCTATACCCTTTGTTCTTCTTCATCCGTTTGGTCCGAAACTTGCGTTGGAATTAAAAGTCCGCAAGCTTGTATGTCTCACGTCCATCACAGGTAACTGGTTTTCCCCGTATTCAACATTTAAGCACTGTGAAAGCTAATTATACCTTCACCATCGTTTATTTCCACCCTTTTGGAGCCTTCTTCCTTAGTTCATCTCCATTTGAGAAAACATGTGATCCATTCCTCCTGATAGATTGTCCGCACTTCCACAGATCTTCGTCTCCTTTCGTATATGGTCACAGCAACATCTTATCTACCGCCATTGGAAGTCCATCTGACAGACATTGATTATCTATTTGGACTTGTACATTGTAGATTTGTCCTGAGATTTGGTCATGATGCGAAAATGAATAAAGGTTGACCATTTGCGTATTTCTTTTAGGACTTAATCAATCTGGAAGAGTTCGAAGTAAAACCATCTTGAAGAATGTTGAGGCTCGAAACGGTCATATTGACGAAAGAAGGCTTTCCATGCTGCTGAGAAAGAAGGGGAGACAATCATTCATACAGCATCTCACAAAAGAGAACCCTCAACCATCTGTCGAACCTTAGGGAAGCATGAATGCTCAGAATGGAGTCAAATGGGCGCATTCCTGCGAAGAGCTGCGTGTGGAAGTGGGTGGTGGTGGTGGCAAAGTGAAATTGAGCAGGGAAGTCAAATATTTATACAATTCTTGGGTGTACACAATCTGCGGGATTTTATCGAATTCATGCGATCGCGTGCCGGTAGTATGAATACAGTGAACTTGAGATTAGCAAGCGAGGCCGCTCCATAGAGCACAACAAAAGATTCTTATTCTTCTATTGTGTACGTCACATAGGCAGAGCAGATAACCAATGTTCGTCAGATGGACTTTGAATGGTGTGATGTTACTGTCCAACGGGTAGGAGGTTGTATAGCAATGAGAGTGTATGCATCGGAAAGCGGACAGAAAGGTAACAGTGCTTTTGTATAGCCTCAATTGCAATTGCACCCAACTCTTTATGGGCGACTTCATGATATATTACATATGGATGTTAGGTATAGCTCATGCTCTTGGTGAGGGTGGTGAACGAATGGTTCTGGTTGCCTATGGCGGCAACGTTTCTAGTACCGATGATGAACGTGCTCGTTTCCTTGATACTTCCGACCAGCTTCCCGATCCAGCAGCTGGAATCACTGCTCCAAAGAATAAGCCCAGACCAACAATGCACGTTCAATCAATCAATCAATCAATCAAAGGAAGATGCAATCACTCTGTTGGAAACACGATTCCGAGTATATGACGAGGCATTGAGACAATCACGCTCAAAAGGCAGCAAACCATCTTTTATCGGATTTGTGACATTTGTCGATGCAATGAGTGCTCAGGTTGTTGCTCAGTCTATTCATTACCCGATCCCGGGCTATTGCAAGACAAGTCTTGCACCTGAACCTCGTAGTATCGTTTAGAGTAACATTTCCCTTCCTTCCAATGAAAAGCGTGTTCGACAACTTCTCGTTTCCGCTATTATCATTGCTTTGTTCGTATTCTATATTCCACCTTTGACATTCCTTGCTTCTTTGCTAAGTCCAAACACAATCAAGAAGTACTTACCAGGTCTGTACGATCTTTTACGCAAGAATAGACGATTAGAAGCACTGGTCAGCACCAACTTACCATCCGTTGTTGTGATAATCGGATTCAACGCTTTATTACCTCTCATCCTCGAATGGACAGCATGTCTACAAGGTATCAAAGCGGGTGGCTTGATCGAAATAAGCGTGTTGAAGAGGTATCATCTTTCTTGATAATTTCCGTCATCTTGATTTTCCTCATCACATCGACCGCATTAGGGGTACTCACAGATCTGGCTGGCAATCCGATAAGAATCATAGATAAGCTCGCTTAGTCTTTACCATAAGCAAGTCATTTCAGTTTGTCGTACGTGGTGTTCCAGTCATCGACCATCATACCATTGCAACTTCTACAATTACCGGTCACGTTTGGTCGTGCGTTTGGTCGACTGACGGCAAAGACACCTCGTCAACATGCTGAGCTAAATGCTCCATCTCTGCTATACTCTGGAAATATATATCCTGCCGCTTCGATGGTTTTCATTTTGGGCGTTCTTTACAGCATTGTCACACCATTGATCACCGTCTTTACAATAATCTACTTTGCTTTAGCATATTTGGTGTACAGGTACAGACTCGTATTCGTTTTCTACCGATCATACGAATCACGAGGACAAGCATGACCTTTGTCATCGATGCGTTGCATTTGGGCTCTACTGCTCTTTCAAACCTTTCAAATCTTCCAACTTTCCCTCTTCTCGGTTCGCAAGCAGTTGCTATTATCGAATTTGACGTTGCCTTTGATCGCTTTCACGTTTTGGTTCCAGCATTACCTCTCGCGAACATTCACAGAATTAAGCGAGTATATTAGCTTGAGCAGCATTGCCGAAATCAACAAGCCAAGTCTACAGCCAGGAACAGGAAAGACACAGGCAACGCTGGCACCATCAGCAGAGATCGCCAATACCGTCGCCAATAATGGATCAACGAATGACAACAGTAAGAAGCAACTAATTGAACAGCAAAGAAATCCGATTGCTGCTCTGCGATCGGAAGCGTTGGATGGAATCGATCCAAGTGAGACAGTATTATCACAAAAACGGTATTCGACAAAAGATGAAACATTATTCATTGCACAAAAAGATCGTCATACAGATTACAGAGAACCACCGGCAGCGGGCTACTATTATGGAATCTTGAACACCGGGCGGAGACGGTATGGACATCCTGCCATTGCTGGTACATTGCCGGATATTTGGCCTCCAGTTTGTGTAGATGACGACGACGAGAAAGATGACAACGCGCAAGATCAGAGCGTTTCTCAATCAGACACTGCTGGTTTACCTGCCGATAATAGCGATCGCGGATCATTGACGGGCGTTGGTAGTGTGCTGGGAAGAACACGAAGACAGAGCAGACCACACGAAGCTGTTGTGGTCTCTTTACGAAAGCGCAAATCAACTTTGATTTCTTCTTCAAGTCTGTCAAACGTCTCTGTGCATAATCAAAGACTGTCATCGCAAGAAGCGGATGGATCGGGAATAAGTGGATTGCCAGCTTCTACCAGCACTTCTACCGATGTAGCCGGTAAGACATCCGTCACATTCCCTCAACGAAAACAAAGACAGCCACAAGATACCCTGGATGGATCATGTGAAGAACCAGAGCATCAGCATGAAAATCCAAGTCAAGTATGGGGAGCAAGCAGAAGTCGTTTGCCGTCTACAGCAGAGCAAATCGAGGATGAAGGCAAAGAATTGATGAACCACAACATCTTGATACCGATACCGGCGATGAAGACGAAGAAGACGAAGAAGACGAATCCGAAGAGACCGCGGGCGCGTCTGTATGCATCGTAACTTACGTCAAATGATGCCTCCAGGCTCATTCCCTGGTTTTGAAGATTAGAGGATTCGCATATGATACCTAACGCTTTTTTTTTTGAAATATATCACGATATCACACATCACACATAAAGGGATGGGTAGAATTCAGACAAACACACCTTATGTCTGCTTCCCGATGGATATACTTTCTTTGCTTTATAACTTTTTACCAATTGAGCAACTATCCATACCACTCGAAGTCCATCTGACAGACATTGATTATCTATTTGGACTTGCACGTTGTGATTTTATCTTAAGACTTGGTCATGATGCGAAAATGAGCATAGGCTTATAATTCCAATACTCCTTTTGGGCCTTAATCATTCCCATTACGGACGTTGTGCTAGAAGAATGCGGAGTAAAACCATCTTGAACAATGTTGAGGCTCGAAACGGTTAATTTACCGAAAGAAGGCGTCCTATTTCCGTATTTATATCGATGTAGCTGTATTATGTAGGAAAGAAGGGGAGAGAATATCTATGTAGCATCTTACAAAAGAGAACCCTCTACCATCTATCGAACCTTTTACAAGATACTTTCGTCTATCTATAAGAAATCACTCGCCTAGATTTAAGAGTATCAGGTTTAAGGAACGGAGTTAGATAGACGACTTTTGAGAGGGGAGAAGTGTGTAAGTAGAAAAGGGGAAAGAGTGAAAGACCCTTACCCTTCACCATCTGTCGAGCTTGTTGTATGATGCTTACATCCAGTCAAGGAAAAGATCGATGCTCAGAACGGAGTCAGATGGGCGTATTTTTGCGAAGAGCTGCGTGTGGAAGTGGGTGGTGGTAGTGTCAAAGTGAGATTGAGCAGGAAAGTCAAACATTTATACAAATCTTGGGTGTAAAAGGGTGGAGGCAAACTAACAAAAGAATAAAGTTTACCATCATTCTCATTTGACCATAATATAACAATGTCCTCTAGATACGGTGATCGTGCACCTGCACGTAGTTATCGTGACTTGGATCGAGAACGAGATCGCAGAAGCGTGAGTCCATCTAGACGTGGATGCAATCAGGATGAAAGAGAAAGAGATGGAAGGAGGTACGATCGAAAAAGTCCACAAAGAGATTATCGAAGAGAAGCAACATCTTCACGTCATGAAGATCGTCATGTAAGAAGAGATGATCGTTATTCTCAACGAGATGGCTATCACAGAAGAAGGGATCCATCTCCTCCCACACGACAAGCAAGAAGGGATGAAGAAGAGCGTAAACAGAAACGACAAAAAGAGAAAGAAGAAGAAGAAGAGCAGCAAGTATCACTGGCAGCTGCTGATGCTAAAGCAAAGCAAGAACTAGAAGAAAGAGCTCAAAATGGCGATGAAGATGAAGACGATTTGACGGAAACTGGCTGTGCTCGTTTCTTGGCGGGATGGTTTTGATCTTGACTTTTTGATTGTTGAATCAGCTTCGTATTTACGCTGCAACTGTTTCAGATCTGGCATCTTGAGAGACAAGCGATCAGATCGTAGAGCATCATCCATCATCTGTAAAGCTGCTTGAAAGCCGATCTGCACGCCCTCACATTCGTCGACGTGCTTCGTTTCAAGGTATGATTTCCACTTGCTATACCAGTCTGCAACCTCTACTTTATTGCTCTTCGGATTGGTGAGCATCGCATGCATCTGTTCAAGCCAATTGGGTATAAAGCCTGTCAACATGACTTTGGACAACATTCTACTGCCCAGCAAAGGCTTCCATTGTAGAACATCCTTCAAAGGCTGTCTATCTTGCGCTCGAGGGTTTGCAGTGATCTTGAGCTCCTGCCTCAGATACGTTGACAGCTTCTCCACCACATACTCCAACAGCATCGAATCCCATTCGCTTGTACGGAAAACGTCTCTCTATCTACGTAACTCGGATGGGATACCCTTTGAGACTTTCTATGATTTGAGTGATGAACGAATTCGTCTCTTTGACTCTGAGATGACATCGTCCATTTGATGATGCAAGAGCGGCATCCATGGGAATACAACTTTGTATAAAGCACTCTTGCCATCCCAATCAGAAACAGCAGAGCGCAATTTAGGAAGGATGAGTTGATAGGTGACATTATCGCGAATGAAAGCCGGTAAGAGGGTGTCCAAGATTCATAGAACTTCGTTACTGCAGTCGAACCGAATACGTCCCATTTATTGTTTAATGTAGATCGCACCGGTGGCATCTAAACATTCCACAGAAGAGATTGACATAGCGTCATGATCTCTTCTTTGACTGAAATGCGGAGCGCACCACTGATGCTCTTCAGAGGGATGCAAACCCGGGTAGGATCTTGCAGCAATGACCATTGAGATAGCTCACGCTTTAAAATCGGAGTAATTGCTCCAACAAGCGCTGCATCAATTTACATCTCGGCGATGGCATCTCTATGGCGTTGTAGGATGTCCTATACTGGTTGCATGAAACTGTCGAGGCCGATCTTTGGGTCAATCGCGGCACGTTTTCCAAGCAACTCAATCTCTCCAACGATTTTGGCAATAGTTTCTACACGATCGTGCTTGGTAACAAGATTCTGTTTGCGACGTACGGCTTCATGCAATTCACGCTCGAGCCACTTACGACGATCTTGAATAGCTGACCCTTCATTTGCTAACATGTCGAGCGCTTTCGAATTTCCATCACAAATGAGCCGAAGATTATGTCGAATCTCGATTAATTGTGTGCTGTCATTTGTCGGGACAGCATGTTTTGCAAGGGCAGCAGATAAAGATGAATACTCTTTACCAGTAGCATCAAAGATGATTTGATCTCCCCACTTGGAGCAACATTATGGCCATGTTCTGCCAAGATTTGTTCATAGGTACGATGTTCAATTTCAGGCTTTCGCGATTTACGTTCGGGTTTTGTCCATGCGTGAGTTTCAGCTTTTGATGAAAGCTTTTTGGCTCTTGTACTTCTTCTCTCTTTGTGCTCCTCATCTGAGCTGACTTATTCACCACGTCTACGTGCTTCTTCTTTTGCTTATTTCGTCTTTTCTTTAATACCGCCAAACGCTATACCTGCACGTTCCGGTCTTTGTTTGACTTCGATCGGTTTTACGATACCTTCGCCTTGTTTACCAAGACCACCTCCAGACCAACCCATCTGAGCGAGGTACTTTGCCGGATCAAACT